AGAGAGAGCGAGAGAGAGAGAGAGCGAGAGAGAGAGAGAGAGTAGAGAGAGAGAGAGAGAGAGAGAGAGTAGAGAGAGAGAGAGAGGGAGGGAGCAGCTCGAGGCAGTTGCGAACTATTGTGGCATCCTCGCCTAAGCCTGGCGTCGGGCGCGCGCGCAGTAAGACTTTAATGACGAAATCTGCATGCCATCCGCCGCGCGTCTTTATTTCGCTACATCGCGCAAGCGGCGGGGAGTTAATGGCGAGCCCGTCGGCTGAAAGCCACAGCATCAACATGCGCTCATGCCGGCCCGTTTTATGAACCGACGGCTTTATGAAAACACTTTGCAAACCTCTGAATTCGTTTAGCTTCGCACAAGAGAGGCAAAGAGGGTTTTCGGTTTATGTCCTGCAGGGTGCATTGCATGCGAAGCAACATCGTCGGCCCGCATCGTGAAAACCGAGCTTTTATGCGCGCCTCGCAGCGGCCGCGTCTTAATGCGCTCGCGAATATAGCGCTGGCAAGACTTGCGCCTCTGGTCTGACTTTGTGAGCAGCAGAGAAGCACGATGAAAATAATGGTTTCACACGTGCGGGAGAGGCTAAAAGCCCTCCGCTCAAAACTGAACCATTACGTACAGTTACGTACATTTACAGTTGCGTCGACCACTGATCGGGCTGGAGCGTTGCGAACCTTGTAACTACTATATATATATATATATATATATATATCGTCGCTCCTTCTATACGCGCGGGCTTGTGATCGAGGTGTAGCGGGCACGTCCCATGACGTCGATTTATTCGGGGAGGGATCGTCGGCGAGCGACGGCAGGCGCGGCTGTGTCTCCGCGCGCGCGCACACGCGTCTTGTTGCAATTATGACCCGCCTGGCAGCGAATTACGGAGCGAGGCGGTCGTCTCTCGGCAGCACAAAAGCGATTATTCTCGACAGAATCTGGCCGGACAATAATCGCATTACGTTTAAGATATACGACGGCTCCGTGTCGGGTCGTCCGTGCGCTTTGTGGGCCTGCGCACCCACCAGCGCCGACCGAGGTGGCTTCATTGACGAGGTTATAGCGGTGCATTCTCTCGCTAGCACGGACGCGCCGTTTTCTCGGCAGAGTTTCCTTTGCGAGCGCGCGCGCCGCGGGGCCGCCATTGTTGGCGACGGGCTTTGAAGCGGCAGCTAAGTGCGCAATCAGTATTCCTCGTCGGACGCACGCGCGTCTGCGAAACCTATCCATTCCACGCCTTAAATTGTCTAAACCAGGCAGCATCGCGCCGCGCGCGCGCGCGTTTTTGTGAGACTAACTGTCTGCACGGCTCACTGCTTTCATCTCATTTCTGCCAATTTGCAACAAATGGGCTCTCGACGGAGCGCGTGGCGCTCCGAGCAGACGCGGCGACCGTTAATGCGTCGGGCTTCACTCAATGGCGAGGCGAGAGCAGACTGGCAAGCATCGTCGGCGCGCGCATGCACCCAGCCGCAGCCACACAGCTAGCAGTGCTCAGCAAGCCACGCAGCCAGCCAACACCGCGGCGATCGTACGTAATCGCATTTAAGCACTGCGCGCCATTTTCCACTTCGGATATGGAATACTAAGAAGGTGCAAAGTGAAGTGCTTGCGGTGACTAATTTAGACGAAGCCCCATCGTCCACTTCGCCGTCCATTCAGCGCGCCGATTCTGTCGTAATTTGCCGGAATGAAAACTGAAAGGAAGACGCCGTACGATCGGCATTTCTACTCACGCGCTAATATGAATCTAATAGGCTCACCCCGCCGGCCATAGCTGCCGGCTCGCTGTCCCCCTATCTCTCTAGATCTCGCTCTCTCCCCTTCTCTCTCTCTCTCTCTCTCTCTCTCTCTCTCTCTCTCTCTCTCTCTCTCTCTCTCTCTCCCCTCTCTCTATCCGTGTGCGTGTCTTTCTCTCTCTCTCGTTCTCTCTCGCGCTCTCTCGCGCTCTCTCTCTCTCTCCCTTTCTCTCTCTCTCTCTCGCTCTCCCTCTCTCTCTCGCTCTCCCTCTCTCTCTCGCTCTCTCGCTTTCTCCCTCTCTCTGCTGTCGCCGTCTCTGTCTCTCTCCGTGTGTGTATCGTTCTCTCTCTGTACGTATCTCTCCCCCTGTCTCTATCTCTCTCTCTATCTCTCTCTCTCTCTCTCTCTATCTCTCTCCCTCTATCTCTCTCTCTATCTCTCTCTCTCTCTCTCTCTCTCTCTCTCTCTCTCTCTCACTACTTCATTGCTCTCTCCTCTCCGCACACGCGTGCCACTGTGATAGCGAGCAGCGGGACACCTGCCCGAACACTTCGACTGTCCACGCTGGGTGTGTAGACTTGGAGCTCGCCTGACGTTGCCATGCCCGCGCCTACACCCACGGTACATGGCTCTAAAAACCACACAGCAGGCAGCCCCTGTGTGCTAAGAGTTTTAGCGGTTTAAGTCTAGTTGTACTCCGGCAGAATTTATGGTCAAGATGTCTGCCTGGTGATGTACGCTGTCGATCGGTGGGTGGGTCGGTCCCTTCCAAATCGCGCCATAAATTACAAGTGGATTAGAAGAGAATCATGGTCATGATACTGTAAAATCTTCGAGACAAATACCGATGCACTCACAGAGTGCAACACAGCATAAGACTATAATGTAATTTTACAGCATGGACCACCGTTTTTTTCGAAGTTTATGATTTTTTTAGATTTATCCATCTGACTGATTCCAAGAGATAGAACATTCGACATTTTGAGATTTTGAATATAAAGTCTCGGTCAATGTCGAAATCACGAACGACAGACCATTTTCTCAGTTCATAGTCGTACAATTTTAATTAACTACTATTATCACCGGCATGAAATTTAGGGCAGATTATGTATGAAGACATACGCTGATAGAGTGTGACAATGTTGCAAAAAGCCCGTTAATCGACAATTAGTTGTTAATGTTGTTTAAGTGTCACTTGCATGACACATGCAGGCGCAACCATGCACATGCTAAGCTCATGTATATGGATGCGCTGACACATCAGTCCAGTAATTAATACTCGTATCTTTACGAATAATTATAGCTTAATCCTCGCAGAATACGAATTAGTGCATTGGACGTGTCTTTATGTGGCCGTGCTTTAGTGGGTTATATGTTTATATATATATATATTACATATTATATTATATTATATATATATATATTAGGTGAATTGCATTTTATTTACTAGGAATTTAGGACATTAGTTAAATGATAAGTAGTCTCTAATATATTACAAATAATTAAAACGATTTATAATATATATATCTCTCTCTCTCTCTCTCCCTGTCTCTCTCCCTCTCTCGCTCTCTCTCTCTCCCTCTCTCTCTATCTATCTATCTATCTATCTATCTATCTATCTATCTATCTATCTATCTATCTATCTATCTATCTATCTATCTATCTATCTATCTATCTATCTATCTATCTATCTATCTATCTATCTATCTATCTATCTATCTATCTTACTTCTATCTATCTAATCTATCTATCTATCTATCTATCTATCTATCTATCTATCAATGCATCTCTCTCACCATCTCTCTCTCTCTCTCTCTCTCTCTCTCTCTCTCTCTCTCTCTCTCTCTCTCTCTCTCTTCTCCTCTCTCTTCCTCACTCACGGCGTGCGTGCGTGCGCGCGTGTGTGTAAGTGAATATACCGTGAACTGTGATCACGAAAATTGAAATTATATTCTGAATAAAATATACATTACGTTGCGTTCAATTTGTTTTTTATAATATATATATATATATATATATATACATCTATATGTCCTAAAATTTATTCAATTCGAACACATTGAGCAAATGATAAATAAATATACGCATACACGGGAATAATTTTCGTTGTTTCATTAGTGTCGAATAACCATAAAGAGCTTATACTATAATACTATATTTTTCCGCACTCCCGTGCTTATAGTACAGTGACCAACGTAACGTGTTAGGCACAAGCACGTCCCCACTCACACAGCGCACTTGGTACGCAAGCCATGTCTATTCTCTCGCTAGCTCATGTATTAACATGCATGCAAACGTTACAATCTCAAACAACCACCG